GAGAAGTAGACAGAGAAATACAAAATGTACTGGAAAACTTCAACAATAAACTAGAATAAGCAGAAGGAACTTCGGTGCTCAAACTCAAGGCTTTCAAATTAACCCTGTAAGACAAAGTGAAAGAAAAAAATAATTTAAAAAAATGAAGAAAGCTTCTAAGAGATTTAGGATTATGTTAAATGGACAAACCTAAGAATAATTGCTGTTCCTGAAGAAGAAAAAATTCTAAATATTTAGAAAATATATTTGAGTGAATAATTGAAGAAAATGTCCCTGGTCTTTCTAGAGATCTAAACATTCACATGCAACAAGCTCAAAGAATACCTGAGAAGTACATCATAAAAAGATCATCACCTAGGCACATATTCATCAGGTTATCTAAAATCAAGACAAAGGAAAGAATCACAAGAGCTGTGAGACAGAAGCACCAGGTAACCTATAAAGGAAAACATACCAAGTTAACAGCAGACTTCTCAGCAGAAATCTTATAAGCCAGAATGAATTCAGTTTCTGTCTTTAGTGTCCTGAAACTAAATAATTGTCAGCCAAAAATGTTGTACTGAGTAAAAGTAAGCTTCATAAATGAAGGAGAGATAAGGTCTTTTTCGGACAAACAAATGTTGAGAGAATTCACCACTACCAAGCCACCACTACAAGAAATGACAAAGGGAGTTCTAAGTCTTGAAGAAAAGCTGAAAATACACCAAAACAGAACCTCCTTAAAGCATAAAACTCACAGGGCCTATAAAACAGTAACAGAATAAAAAAAGGTATTTAGGCAACAACTAGCATGATACATAAAACAGAACTTCACATCTCAATAGTAATGTTGAATGTAAATGACCAAAATGCTCCACTTAAAAAGATACAGAATGGCAAAATGGATAAAAATCCACCAACCAAGTATCTGCTGTCTTTAAGAGACTTACCTAACACATAAGGACTCACATAAACCTAAGGTAAAGGAGTGGAAAAAATATTCCATGCAAATGGAAACCAAAAGTGAGCAGGAGTTGCTATTCTTGTATCAGACAAAACAGACTTTAAAGCAACAATAGTTTAAAAAAGACAAAGAGGGACATTATGTGGTAAAATGATTTGTCAAAAAGGAAAATATCAAAATTCTAAATACATATGCACCTAATAATGGAGCTCCCAAATTTATAAAAAAATTACTACTAGATCTAAGGAATGAGATACATGGCAACACAATAATAATGTGTGACCTCAATACTCCACTGGCAGTACTAGACATGTCATCAAAACAGAAAATCAACAAAGAAACAACTGACTTAAACAATACCCTAGAAATAGTGGACTTAACAGATAATTAGAGACCATTCTACCCAACAACTGTAGAATATATAACCTTTCCATCAGCATATAAAACATTCTCCAAGACAGGCAATACAGTAGGTCACAAAACAAGTCTCAATAAATTTAGGACAATTAAATTATATCAAGTATCCTCTCAGACCACAGTGGAATACAACTGAAAATTAACTCAAAAAGGAATTCTCAAAACTATACAAATACATGGAAATTAAATAATCTACTCTTGGACGATCTTTGGGTTAACAATAAAATCAAGATAGAAATTTAAAAATTCATTAAACTGAATGAGAATAGTGACACAATTTATCAAAGCTTCTGAGATACAGCAAAAGCAGTTCTAAGAGGAAAATTCACAGCATTAAATGCCTACATCAAAAATTCTGAAAGAGCACAAATAGACAAACTAAGGTCATACCCCAAGGAACTAGAGAAACAAGAACAAGCCAAATCTAAATCCAGCAGAAGAAAAGAAATAACAAAGATGAGATCAGAACTAAATGAAATTTAAACAAAAAATATAAAAGATAAATAAAAAAAATTGATTTGAAAAGATAAACAAAATTAATAGATCATTACTGAGATTAACCAAGAAAAGAGAGAAAAATCCCAATAAGCTCAATTAGAAATGAAACACTTTGGGACCACTAGGATTAAAGGCGTGAGCTTCTGCCTAAGTTTGAAGTCTTACATTTGAATCTTTAATCTACCTTAAGTTACTTTTTGTATATGGCGAAAGGTAGGGGTCCAGTTTTATTCTTCTGCATATGTCTAGCCAGCTATCCCAGCACCATTTATTGAAGACTGGCCTTTCTCCACAGCTTACTTGGTTGACTTTGTCAAAGATCAGATGGCTGTTGGTGTGTGGCTTTATTTCTCAGCTCTCTATTCTGTTCCATTGATTTATGTATGTTTTGTACCAATATCATGCTGTTTTGTTCACTGTAGCTTTGTAGTATAGTTTGAAGTCAGGTAGTGTGATGCCTCCAGCTTTGTTCTCTTTGCTTAGAAGTCCTTTGGCTATTCTGGCTCTTTTTTGGTTCCATATGAATTTTAGAAAAGTTTATTTCACTCTTTCCAATTCTGTGAAAAATGATGTTGGTAGTTTCATAGGAATAACACTGAATCTGTAGATTGCTTTGGGGAGTATGTCCATTTGAATGATATTGATTCTTCCAGTTCATGAGCAAGGAATATTTTTCCATTTGTTTGTGTCATCTATGACTTCTTTCAGCAGTGTTTTGTAGTTCTTCTTGTAGAGATTGTTCATATCCTTGGTTAGATGTATTCCTAAGTAATTTTTCTGTGGCCACTATAAATAGGATTATGTCTTGATTTGGCTGTCAGCTTGATCATTATTTGTGTCTAGAAATGGTACTGATTTGATTTACAATGATTTTTGTATCCTGGAATTTTACTGAAGTCATTTATCAGTTCCAGGAGCATTTTGGTAGACTCTTCAGTGTTTTCTAGGTATAGAATCATATTGTCTGTATAGAGAGATAGCTTGACTTATCTTCCTGTTTGGATGCCTTTTATTTCTTCTCTTGCCTGATTAATCTGTCTAGAACTTCCATTAATTCTGTGTTGAATGTAACAAGATAAGGATGCATATTGTAATCACCACAAAAAGTAAAAAAAAAATAAAAAGCTATTATTAAAAAGTCAATAGACAAGACAATGAAAAACAAAACAAAAAAACACCTCAACCCAAAAGAAGATATGAAAGGATATATATATATATATAGCAAATAATAGAACAAATAGAAAACAAAAAGAAAGTGAGTAAACTTAAACACGGCCATGTCAATAAGTCCATTAAATATAAATATATTAAACTCTCCAACAAAAGACAGAGATTGATGAACTTCATTTAAAAATCAATATCCAATTTTATGCCCTTAACAAATAATGCACTTAAACTATAAAAACACATTAGGTTGAAAGTACTAGGATGGAGGAGATATACAATGCAAACAATAAGTGAGTATGCAAGAAATAACAGAGCTTCAAAATACATGCAGCAAAATTTTATAAAATTAAAAAGAGAAATAGATAAATCCATAATCACAGATGTACATTTAAACTCTTCTCTAGTAACAATTGATAAATGAAGTAGACAAATAAATTAGCAAGGATGTATAGTATTTGAAAAATCCTATCAACCAAATTTGACCTACACTAAGGTAAACCAAATTCTGGACTATAAAATGAGTTTGTATATATTTTAAAATATTTAAATAATGAACTATGTTATCTGATCACAGATAAATTAAATTAGATATCAATAGCTAAAACATGTCTAGAAGATACCCAATCCTTGGAAATTAGGGACATTCTTCTAAATTACTCATGGTTTAAAAATAAATTACAAGTGAAATTAAAGATATATCAAATTGCATAAGAAAAGACAATATGTCAAATTTTGTGAGATGTAGCTAAAGTAGTCCTAAGAGGAAAATTTATAGCTTTATGTTTATATTAGAAAAGAATAATGTTTTAAAGTAGATAATATAATATTTTACTTTAAGAGTCTATAAATTAAATTTGAATTAAATAGAAAAAATAAAATAGTAAAGATAAGGAACAGAAATAATTAAAATAGAAAAAGCCAAAATGATAGACAGAAATAAAGAAAGCTAAACAGAGATTTTTAAAGAATAATAAAATTCATAAAAGCTTAGCTAAAGGTAATCAAGAGAAAAACCATAAAACAGAAGTTAACCAATTTCAGAAATTATAGAGGTTGCATCACTACACATGCTACAGGCATTTCAAAAATAAGAAGGGAATATTATGCACAACTTGATGCCAACAAATTTGACAATTTAGATGAAATAGAAAAAGTATTTGAAAAACAATTTACCAAACTAACATTAGACTGAACCTTTTGAACAGTGTAAATACCAAAGTTAATTCAAATAATAAAATCGTCTCAAAAGGAAAGTTTCAGGAATGGATGCCTTCATGGGTGACTACTACCAAACACTTAAGAAGGAAACAATACCAATTTTAAACAAATTGAGTGTTACAAACCATTGCAGAGGTAAATGAAAGACCTAAATAAATGAAGAGATATATGTTCACAAATCGAAGGTGTCAAAATTGTTAAGATTTCAATTCTCCCTATATTGATTTACAAATTCAACACCATCACAATGAAATCATAACAGGCTTTAACATTAATAGAAAAGCTGATTCTAAAAATTTTAAGAATGTATGAAGGACCTAGAGTAGCTGAAATTATCTTGTAAAGGAAGAGGAAAGCTGGATGAGCTGTGCTACCTAATTTTATGTCTTAGCATACAAATACAACATGACGTGAAATTAATCATGACAATGTGGTTTTGCCATAGGATAGGCAAATAGATCAGTGTAACAGAATAGATCAGGAGTTGGCAATCTTTTTTTCTGAAAGGACGTATAGCAAATACTTTATTTGTTGCAGGCTATACAATCTCCATCACAACTACCCTGTTATAGTGTGAAAGCAGCCACAGATGACAGTTAAATTAGTGTATCTGTGTTCTAATAAAGTTTTATGAACACTTAAATTTCAATTTCACATAATTTTTACATCATAAAATATTCTTTTGATTTTTTCAACCATTTAGAAATGTAAATCAAAAATAAAAACACCAAAAAAAAAAAAAAAAAAAAAAAAACACCTATCCTAGATTACAAGCCACACCCAAACAGGTACAAAATGGAAATTTGCTTGAGGGAAGTGGAATGATTTATATTTTGACTGAGAATTAAATAAGGCCATTTTACCTTGAAGGGCTTTTAGATAAGACATCCAAAATAGTAGGTCATGGTAAAGGGTGTGAGAGAACAGAATGAACCACTGAATGGGGGTGGCCATAGGGAATGTTTTTAAGGAAACACCTTCTCCCTGCTATGTGACCCACCAGAATTGAACAAGGGGAAATGATGGTGGTAGCAGGTCAGTTTGAAATGAACCTTCACGTATTATTTGGGTTGGGAAAATCCCCTCTCTCCAACCACACCTTGGCCACTCCAGCACCACCACCCCCACAGAGGTGTCAGCGCTTTGTGATGTCCAAGCCACCCCAGGACTATCATTGGATAGCGGTGCTCCTTTCTGACCAAACAAAGCTGAAGGGCGGGGCTCTAATTACCCGGGGGGTGGGTATATACAAGGAGGTCAGGAGCGTGGGGTAGACCATTGGGAGGCTTAAATATGGCTAAGGAGACCTACACACCAGTGAAGCCTAAAAAAACAATGAAACAACCAATTATTAGCACGAAAAAGCCAACCCCAAGAACCAAAAAGAAGAAGGAAAAGAAGAAGGAAAAGAAGAACTCTTGTCAACAAAAGACCAACAAAAATGGCAAGGTCAGATGACCCTATCCTTGTTCCTTCTCTTCTTCCCCCTATATTGGCTCAAGACTCCTAGCATATCCTTGCCTAGCTATCCTTGCATATATATATATATATATATTTACAGTTTAAATAGTTAAATGCTCAATTAACTGCTATGGGGTATACTAAAAATTTCTTATCTGAAAACTTTTCTTGAGTCAGCTTCAATAAGGAGGCAGGAAGATATGAAACAATTCCTGAGCCTGTGAGACCCAAAGGTGACTTACTCTAGTGTATCCCAGACCTGCCAGGGCATGGCCCAGACCATGCTGCTATTTAGCACACATACAGGGTCAAGAATGGACCTATTTATTTATAAAGCTCCCCTTGCCTATTTATATCAGCTTTCCTTGACTATTTATAAACCTCCCCTTCCTATACAACCTCTTTCTCTTCCCATAAACCAATGTCCTGGTTCACTGTGTTGCCCTTCCAGGTGGAGAAGAAAATCACAAAGGTAAAAAAACCCCTTCAAAGAAATTCAAGAAAAAAACCTCGATCACCTCCTTCCTGCTCAAAAAAGCCTAGGAAGACAATGAGCCCAGCAGCATTTGTGTGTCATCACAAGCAGAATAAGACACAAAATGAAAATCAGAAGAGCAAGTGCAAAAAACCCCAGGAAGTAGAAATCAGAAAAGCAAGCATAGAAGACACTGGCAACGTCAAGCCATCCCAAGTAACCATCTCTGCTGCCAGTAAATGCAGAGCCTGGATCAGAAACGTAGAACTAGCAACAGCATCTCCACAGGTGGCTCTGGGGAATCGCCAATCACATAAAGGCCAAATCTGAGAGCAACAGTGTTCACCCATGTTGAATGCAATAAAATAAACACGATGCAAAAAGATGATGTGGATGTTTGCCTGTAGTAGGGAGGGGGTTAAGGAAGAAAAAACGTGAGACGGGAGGGAGGCGGAGTCCTCCAAGGTTGGGCGCCAGACCAACAGGTATACAGTTAGCCACTGGGAGATAAGGAGCAGGCGAGGACTGAGAAGGAAATGAAGACGAGTCAACGCTTTGTCCCACAGACAGGAAGAAAAAGGGCTTCGGTATTTCTACATGTATTTAGGGTAGGTGTGGGTAGCAACATCAAGGTCTAAATTCCCAGAACCCAGGTAAAGACAAAGAACTGCTGAAGGTACCTCAGCTCTGTGGTTCTGTGTAATCACTTGCTTTGACTGATGTCTAAATCAGTGAAACAAAGTGTCAAATTTAAGGAGTAAAATGTGGGGGACAAAGACAGTTTTGCTACATTTGAAAATAAAATATTTTACTGGATTTGAACAATATATTTAAGCATGAAATGTACTTTTTATTGCTCATTATTTTAATACTACATAAAAATCAAAATGCTAAAATTTTGTATCAGTTACATAATTTAGTAGTTGCCTACATTTTATGTTTTAATTTTCTTAAAATTGTCTTATCATGTTTACTATGATAACTATATGCAAAATGATTTATAGAGAAAATTTACACTGCATTTTCTTTCTGGTTATAGTTATTTGTTTAATTCATGTGTATTGCTAAAAGCACATTCCATTGAGGAATCCACCAGGTGTGGTGGAATGCGCCTGTGATCCCAGCTACTTAGGAGGCTGAGGCAGAAGTACTGCTTGAGCCCAGGAGGTAGAGGTTGCAGTAAGCCAAGATCTTGCCACTGCACTCCAGCATGGGCGACAGAGTGAGATGCTGTCTCAAAAAACAAAACAAAACAAAACTCTCTAGGATTATGGTAAAAAGAGATCTCTGGATCACAGCTGTTCAGCAGACCTAGAGCAATGAGTTGAGATTGCAGCAGTCCTGAAAGTTCTGGGAGAGATTTCTTCAAGAAGATGAAATTGTCAGGAGGAGAGTTTGGGATTGAGTTGGTAGCAAGTACATAGAAAATCAAGTAAGTTTTAAAAATGCTAGGAAAAAATGTGAAGGAGATGGAAAAAAATTATAATGTACTTCATGACTAAGTTGACTATTGTATTTATATCATCATAATAGTGTAAACATTGAATATTGATCTAAATGTATAACTATATTGAGAGCATATGGATGGGTCATGGGGTGTGTGTGTGAGAGAGAAGTGGGGGAGAGAGAGAGAGAGAGAGAGAGAGAGACAGGTGCAGAGGCTAAATCTTACCTTCAATAGTGTAAGGTCAATCTAAAAAATGTTTCAAGCTGTAAACTCTAGTCATAGTCATACAAGCATGGCATTTGGAGATGTAGATGTAAATAGAAATATAATCATTTCAAAGAACTAACTGAAAGTGGATTCATCTGGGGAGCAGAATACAAGAAAGGACTGTTGCTTTGCTTTTCTTTCTCTCTCTTCCTTTCTTTTCTTTCTCTCTCTCCCTTTCTTTTCTTTCTCTTTTTTTTCTCTCTCTTTCTTTCTTTGCCATCATGGGGCCAGAACTTCACTTGTTTAAAAAAATTTTGTTTTACTTTAAGTTCTGGGTTACATATGCAGAACAAACTGTTGCTCTTCTTAACAAGTCTAATAGATCTAATTGTCTCTTTAAACAAAGTGTGTGTATATTTATTTAATAAAAAATAAAACTAATTTTAAAAAGATATTCCTCCTCCAAATCAGTCCATTAATTGCAGTAGTCCTCCTTTTTTTTTTTTTTTTTTTTGTTGAGTCAGGGTCTCACTCCCATTGCCCAGGCTGAAGTGCAGTGGTGCAATTACAGCTCACTGCAGCCTCAAATTCCCAGGCTCAGGTGCTACTCCCACCTCAGCCTCCTGACTAGCTGGAACTACAGGCACACACCACCATGTCTGGCTGGTATTTTTGTATAATTTTAGTAGAGATGGCATTTCGCCATGTTGGCCAGGCTGATCTCGAATGCCTGGGCTCAAGTGATCCGACTGCCTTGGCCTCCCAAAGTGCTGGGATTAGAGGCATGAGCCACCGTGCCTGGCCTGATTGCAATGGTCTTCTAAACTTTCTGCTGAGGCCATGATCCAAGCCTGGCTTTTGTAAAAAATCATTTCCCTTGAGGATAAGGCTGTGGCTTTTTTTTTCTTTCAGTACTCCCTGCTTCCACAGTGCTTAGCGTTCCTGCCAATAAAAGAAGGTGGGGGGTAAGAAAGATGTTCAACTTCATTAGTAAGATGAAAAATAAATGCAAATGAAAACAATAATAGGTTGGATTAGGAGACAGAACACTATAGTGGTTAAAAGCATGGGAATTGGAACTAGGCTGCCTCAATTCAAATGCAAGCTCTGTCACTTGATTCTGTATGACCTTGGGCATGTCACTTTACTTCTCTTAGCTTCAGTTTTCACATCTGTAAAAAGGAGTTTATACAGTATTTTCTTTCTATGGTTGTAAGGATACAACATATTAATAGGTACAAAGTGCTCAGAACAGAGAAAGTACTTTGCAGAGTAATTTGGCAAGTCTAGTAAATTTGAAAATGCTTATACTTCGTGGCCCAGCAAATCAATTCCTAAGTGTCTCCCTGAGCAACACTCTCAGAAGTGGGCACAAAGGAACATGCCACAAGAGCATTTTCTCCAGTACTCTTTGTAATAGCAAAATATGGCTGGGTGTGGTGGCTCACACCTGTAATCCCAGCACTTTGGGAGGCAGGTGGATCACTTGAGGTCAAGAGATAATCCTGGCCAACACGGTGAAACCCTGTCTCTACTAGCTAGGCGTGGTGGCGTGCACCTGTGGTCCCAGCTACTTAGGAGGCTGAGGCAGGAGGATGGCTTGAACTGGTTGCAGTGAGCCAAGATTGTGCCACTGCACTCAGGCCTGGAAACAGAGTGAGACTTTGTGTCTCTCCCCTCAAAACATAAATAAGTAAAAAATAGCAAAATATAAAAAAGTGGAAACAACCTAATTATCTCTCAGTAGATGAATGGGTAATCTAGCTGTGATTTACTTACACGGTGGAATGCTGCAGAGCTGTGAAAATGAAAGAACTAGAGTGAATACTACAGCAACATTAATCAGCAGGAGTAAGTTTTTAAAAACATTATTGCATAGAAAAAATGGAGGGCAGACATACACTATTCAATTTTCATACTTGTAAGAATACTTGAATTTTAATTTTGAGATGGAGTCTCACTCTGTCACCCAGACTGGAGTGTAATGGTGCAGTCTTGGCTCACTGCAAACTCCGCCTCCTGGGTTCAAGGGGTTCTCCTGCCTCAGCCTCCTGAGTAGCTGTGATTACAGGCACCTGCCACCACGCCCAGATATTTTTTTGTATTTTTAATAGAGAGGAGGTTTTGCCATGTTGGCCAGGCTGATCTTGAACTCCTGACCTCTAGTGGTCTGCCCACCTCGGCCTCCCAAAGAGCTGGGATTACAGGCATGAGCCTCCAAGGCCAGCCAAAATAATTGTTTATACTCATACATAAGTACAAATATATGCACAAAAGTGGTACATGACAACTGCAGGACAGTGGTTATCCAAGGAGAGATATGGATGAAGCAGTCATGGGTTGTAGAGTTTTGCAGTATTTGTAATATGCTATTTCTTAGAGACAGCTGAAGCAAATGAGGCAAAACAGTAGTGTCCAGTTAATTGCTTTGTGTGATTATAGGTGGCTATTTTATCATTTTATCAAATTCAATTTACAATTAATTTGTAGATTTAACTTCTATAAAATATGGTTAATAAACTAAAAAGTATTATATAAATGTTAGACCATTATCATTATTCAGGCAATATATCAACATGCAGGGCAAAGATAATGCTTAAGTTGGGGAACAGCCACGGTGTAATGCTGGTACATTGTCCTAGCATTCTAAATTTCAATGAGTTTATTCTTTTTTTTTGAGACAGAGTCTCACTCTGTTCCCCAGGCTTGAGTGCAGTGGCAGAATCTTAGCTCACTGCAACCTCCACCTTCCAGGTTCAAGTGATTTTCCTGCCTCAGCCTCCCCAGTAGCTGGGATTACAGGTGTCTGCCACCATGCCCAGCTAATTTTTGTATTTTTATTAGAGATGTGGTTTCACCGTGTTGGGCAGGCTGGTTTCAAACTCCTGACCTCAGGTGATCCGCCTGCCTTGGCCTCCCAAAACGTTGGAATTACAGGTGTGAGCCATCACGCCAGGCCTGACTTATTCTTTAGGTCGCTTATGGATAATGAAGACTGATTAACAAAAAATAAAATGATTCCCACTTAATGCTGGAAGTAGCAATGGAGAAAACTTGAAGAAGGACAGACAAACACTGATACAATTTCCTGTCCTTAAAGTCTGGCTCAGCTTGATCCTCCTCTGTGAACCCTTCACTGACCACCCTCCACCCCAGTCAGAATCCACCTTCGTAGGCTCCTGCAGCATTTCATCACAAGCAATGTTCTCATTAGCTTTCCATGAATTTACCTTCCCCAATGAGTTGTAAGACTGAGAATGGAGATGGTCTCTATTTCACCTCTCATATTCCCTGCTTGGAATATCCTTTCTTACCCACTTATCATTCAGGTTAATGCTCTTCCTCTGTGCCTCCATAGTACCCTATGCCAATTTCTGCTGCAGTGTGCATCATACCATGTTACTATCATTCCCTGTTTACCTGACACTCCATGGAGACTGTGAGCTCCCTGACGTCAGGGACTATATCCCTCTCAGTGTTCAGCAAAAGACTGGCCTATAGAGTGACTGCAATAATTGCATAGTTAAATTAAGAAAATGTGCCAATTCTGGAGAGAGGAGAAGATGGCACTATAGGAGCAACTCAGGATTGCAGCTCCCAGGGAAAGTGCAGAGGGTGAGTGGACGCCGCATTTCCAGACGAATCTTTATTGCCCACAGACCAGAAGATTCCCAGGTGTAGGAGCTCCACGGGCCACCAGTGTGGCTGTTTGGGCCAGCACAGCTGTTTCAGCTGGCGGCACTCCGTACAAAATACACTGGTCTGGTTGCCCTGTTAAACCGGCAATTTGAGATTTGGGAAGGCAGATTAGCACATTCATCTGATTAAACGGGACTTAAACAGTAAGCCAGGAGAGTCCTGCGCAGGGACGTTGTTTCAGCTGGTGCAGTGGGTCGCCACACGGGAAATCACACAGATCCTGGTGCCCTTTCAGCAGGCGACTGGAACACCGGGGAGACAGTCGACACTTCAACTTAAAAAAAAAAAAAAAAAGGGCTCTGAGGCCGGGAGCCAGGTGATCGGGCTCAGCAGGTCCCACCCCCACAAAAACAAACAAAACAGCAATTGGAA